CATGCATCGTTCACATTAACTGCGAGTGAAAAAGTTAGCTTATGTACATTTTTAAAATCTGTGAAGTTTCCAGATGGTTTTGCTTCGAATATATCTCGATGTGTGAACGCGAATGAGGGCAAAATCACCGATCTGAAAAGTCATGATTGTCACGTTTTATTACAAAGACTTCTTCCAATTGGTATTCGGCCATATATACCCAAAGATATTGCTACAACTATATCAGAATTGTCAAACTTCTTTCATGATTTATGTGCAAAAACTCTGCGTATATCAGAATTAGAAAGAATGTAGACTGACATAGTGTTCATCCTGTGTAAGTTGGAAAAGATCTTTCCACCAGCATTTTTTGACGTTATGGTTCACTTAGTTGTTCATTTGTCGTGGGAAGCAACGATCGTTGGTCCAATGGGTTATAGTTGTATGTACCGAATTGAAAGGTATGAAAATGTATCATTTTTCGTTCATTCCATTTTTTTTCCTACGATTGATTTTAAGTCCTGAGTCATTCTTCACGATTTTTGTATTAGGAGTCTGCGATATTTGAAGCAATATGCTTCATCAAAGCTCGACCTGAAGGTTCAATTGCAGAAGCTTACATCATAAATGAATCTTTAACTTTTTGTTCTATGTATTTACATGGGATTGAAACAAGATTCAATAGGAGTGAGCATAATTATGATAATGTCAAGGATGTAGAGAACAATAGTGAGCTATCGGTTTTTTCTGGACATGTACGACTATTGGGTGGTAGCCAATTTAAACGCTTGACTTCTAATGTGTTAGAAAAAATACATTGGTATATTCTAAACAATTGTGATGAAGTGGAACCTTACTTAAAGTACATATCTATTCTAGTACAACTCTAATACTAGATTTTGACATTACGATGAAATTAAGATATGTTTCATGTTTTGGGAGCATATAAGTCTTCTCCAATCAAACGGTCATGGTGATTTGCACAGGAGACAACAATTGGAATTTCCTACTTGGTTTTAAAAAAAGTAAGTTGGTACTTTTTAGAGTGACAACTCTGTTATCTCCATTATTTTAACTATAAATTAAACTCTTTGACTAGGCTCAAGTATTGTATCGTGAAAAAGGGATTTCTAATGCGTTATATGCCCTAGCAATTGGCCCAAACGACTGTGTTCGATCTTACACTAGGTGTATAGCCAATGGAATTCGATTCCATTCAAAAGAGCATGATAGTCGTCGAGTTACACAAAATAGTGGCGTGATGGTGCCTAGAGATGATGAAACCGGACAAATAAATTTTATGGCGTGTTGCATGAAGTAATTAGGCTACAATACATTCATCTGAAGTCAGTAATTCTTTTGAAATGTGAATGGTATGATACAAGTTCAAAAAGGATAGAATTAATGTATCTGATGGTTATACATCGATTAATACTCGTTATAGATGGTACAAAGACGAGCCATTCATACTTGCAAGTCATGCTGGCCAAGTATTCTACTTAGATGATTACAAACTTGGTCAAGAATAGAAGATTGTTCAACAAATTCAACCAAGACATGTGTGGGATATTCCGGAGGCTGAAAATAATGAAACGAAAGAAGTAGTGGCGGATGAAAGCATTCGCACATGTTACCCATAAGTTGATGATAACTTAGATTCACAAACCTCCAATAGAGAAGATGTTGAGCTGATTCCTATTGAAGATGCAGTATATATAGATAGTGACGAGAAAACAACTAGTGATGAAGAAGAGTTTGATTTTGAGTATTCTAGTGATGATTCTGGAAGCACAGATTCCAATATGTTATTAGTCAATGAAGAGAGCGATAGTGACATATAAACTTATTTGTAAGTCGATAAATATGCATGTAATATTTCGTCTTATATTTACACTATTTTTCTATTTCGACCTATTATTAATTACAGTTTGATTTTGTCCATTATTATGTTACAGGATGTCGTCTTAAAATCTTGGACCAGGAAACCGACGGAGTTACACAAGCAATGTCGATAGAATAGAAAGCACTCAACCAAGAGAGGCTAATCAAACAGCACAGAGTATGATCTTTAAATAGAAATCTTTTTTTATTCCAAGTTAAACTTAAATATATAAATATATGATATCTTTCATGTAGGTTCTGGCATGACTAAAAGAAAAGGGAAACGCAACACTAGAGGGCTGAATGTTGATAAACATGTCCAAAATCATGGTCTGAAAGAAATTAATATCGAAGAATAAGATGGCAAGCAAGTTTGTAGCCATAGTTCGAAATTGGTCTCTCAAATTGGGGTATGGGTGCGGTCAATCGTTCCTCTGAATTGTGAACATTGGTCAGATGTCAACCAAGACGATAAAAACAGTATTATAAATATACTTAGCGTAAGTTTCATTTAGTTACACTTTTTAAAATGTTGTTATATTGTGATTATCATTAACACATCGTCTTTTTGTTGTTTATTGTTAGAACTAATTCATTCTCGATCTCAATGATCCAATTGTTTATCGTTATCTGGAGCATGAGATGAGTAGTAGGCATAGAGATTTCCGGTATAGGTTGCATAAGCATTACATGCAATATTCCTCAGAAAAAGCACGACATCACAAACACAAAGATGTTGCACGAGATGAAGATTGGCATCGCTTATGCGATTGTTGGGAAATAGAGAAGTTTAAGGTATGTCTTGTAGATATGAATTAGTTTTATTCTAAGTATTTTGCTACTAACTATTATATATATGTCAGAAAATTTATGAAACAAACACTAGAGCTCGAGCGTCTGTACTGTACGGTCACACGAACGATCGCATTTTTACGTCACAGAGAAAACATTGTATGTATCTCTTTTCTTGTTATAACTTCAAAAATATTTCACTACTCATAACCTTGTTTGAATTATGTAGAAAAACAAAGAGGGATGAGAGGTAGATGACATTGAACTGTTCGAAGTAACACACAAAAGGATGAACGACGAGTGGGTGAGCCCGGTGGCTGGTCAAAAACATGTAGGTAAAACTACTTTTTTTATTTTTGTGTTATTTGACATGTACTAATATTATTTATATATGAACATTGTAGGAACAAATGRTTGAACTGAAAAATGCACCAGTGGAAGAAGGTGCAGAACCTCCTTTAGCTCGACAAATCAGTGTTCAAGTACTAGGTAGGCGAGGTGCACTTGGATAGAGACCACCAACAGCAACGACTCAGTTGAACGAAGTTCTCAAAGAAATAGAGAGTCAAGAAATCAAATCGCTCAATTGCAATCCGTTGTACAGACGCAACAAAGCCTGCTTGAATCAGTAATGGCTCAATTGAGTCAGTTACAAGAAATTGTAAACAGGCTAAGCAATGCTGGAGAAGGATCGTCACAACGAGCTAATTCTCAACCGTCGAATGATGTTTAAAAAGGTATTCATACATATTGTCCATAGTAGATGAATATTTAAGTAGATGATACTTTATAATAGATATTGGATTTGATGTGCTTTGAAGTGGTGTGACTATCCTGCAGTTATGGTAGTCAAGACTTATGTTATATCGATACGAATTTGTTAGTATATTCATATGTTATGAGCATTTGAGTTGTTCATGATGTTAATAGAAGTGTAGCTACATATTTGATGCATGTACTTATGAAATGCTGGTTTTGACGTAGCTAAGTGTTGTGGCTATCCTGCAGTTATGATAGTCATAGCTTATATTATGGCTAATATAGGTTTATGGTAGTCATAGCATATATTATGTCTAATATAAGTTTGTTAGTAAATTCAAGTGTTAGGAGCATTTGAGTTGTTTATGATGTTAATAGAAGCATAACAACGATCGTTTGATGCATATACTTATAAATATTAGTTTTGATGTAGTTGAAATGTCGTGATGATCTTGCAGTTATGGTAGTCATTACTTGTGTTGTATATATATACAAATGAGTTTATTAGTATTTTATGAAGTTATGAGCATTTTAGGTTGTTTATAGTGTTGATATAACATGGCTATTTCTCTTGTAGTGTTACAATTTTGTTTGTTTTAGAAATGATTTAATAGTTGTTTGGATTATAAACTATGATTTTGGAGTTCTAATAGATTACTTTTTGTTGATTGGTTTAGTGTTATTCACTACGTTTTTCATTATTTAGTAAGTTGGTGTGAATATAGATATATATATGTTGGTTTAATAGGTCAAAAAACTCTTTTGATTATATTTTCATGTTAAATAAGTTGTGTTGTTAATTTTTTATAGGATATACTATGTCATTAAAAGCGGCTGTGCTGGATCATTCAGAAGAAGAATTTCGTGCACAAAACAACATGTTTTCTTTTGTTATATGTAATTGAATAACTTATAAGACAAATTGTTATTTGTAGCTAGAAAGTACTTTTTTTTKTTATAATAGGATGTTACACATTTAGAGAATCTACCTTACATATTTTTTAATATTAAAAATACTTTTCAGCGACGTTTTATATATGTGTCATTTTAAAGCACAGAAATTGAACAAAATTGAAGGCGAAGTTGGAAAGAAAACATGATATTGCCTATTATGGAACTGGTTTTTAGTGACAATCAATATTGTCGCTGAAAATGTGTTTCAGCGACATTTTATGCTGTCGCTGAAAATCATTTTCAGCGACATAGTATAACGAAAGTCGCTGAAAATTGTTTTCAACGATAACTGGAGATGTCGCTGAAAATTAGTTTTAGCGACAACATATAATGTCGCTGAAACTTTAAACGATGAGTTATCTGCGACGTCCTTAGTGACGAATAAAGTTTCGTCGCTGAAACTTTTAGCGACAAAATTGGATTTTCAGCGACATTTTTTAAGTGTCTCTGAAACTCATTTTTCTTGTAGTGTTACTATAGAACGATCTATTTAGCAACATTCATATTTTCATATTTTCTAGTTTTTCATTTTTCGTTTTTTGTTTGTCATTCCTCGTTTCTTCTAATTAATAAAGAAAACAGTAACCAACTAAATATTTAAGGGTAAAATGTAATTAAGAATTAAAACTCAATAATAATCAAACTCTACTTTGTTAATGAACAAAGAAATCCATGTTACAACCGTACATATATTAGCCGATCTCTCTTAGACGGAGAGGGAAAAGCAATCAATCGCCAACCCCAACTCAAGTACACAAGAAAAAGGGATCCGCRTTCTTCAATCTCAGCCTTGGACAAGGACAAGGGTAAAATAATAATTAAAAAATAAAAAACATGATTTTTCAAAATTCCAAACAAGACAAAATAGCAATAAACAAGAGGGAAAAAAAATGGTAAAGTTTCAACATTTGGGAAGATCTGATGGGGGAGGCAACAGCTTCTGATTAGGGAGCTTTCCATCCAATACCAACCAAGCCATCTTCAAACCCCAACTTGTGTGCACCTCCAAGTGGCAATGCATGAACCATACACCTGTCCCATAACACAAAGGTCAATGCTTTTACTCCCCAATGGCCAATAATTTTGAGAAAATAATATATTTATCTGGTTGGTAAAATTGACTCATAACTCACCTGGATTATCAGCTCGAAAGCGAATGGCCACCCATCCTCCAGAAGGCACACCAACAGTGTTCCTTTCAACAGGGTCAACAAGGTTAAACTTGGGAGGATCTTTGTTAGGATCAAAGTTCCCAAATCCTTGCCCAACCACAAAGAAGTTAAATCCATGCAAATGCAGAGGGTGGCTCTCCGCTCCAAGAATGCTCGTGTCCTGCATTATCACCTCCACACTCGCATTAAACGCCAACACCACCAACTCCGTCCCATTCCCAACCATGGTATTGTTCGGCGGATTCCCAGTGTAATTGAACGCAAAAACAGGCCTGCTCGGAAAGTTGGGGCTGTAAACCCCGTTGGACTGCCCCGTGTAGTGAGCTTCAAGCAGAGCCCTACTCGGCATCACAAACGAAACGTTGTTCACCGAAGCAGCAAACATGGTCCCGTTTGGTCCCTGACAGGTCTGGTTCTTGTGGCTACAAGGGCTTGTCCCCAGCCCCACAGTGAACAGAAATTGCCTGTCAACCTTCTGGGGGACGTTGGCTGGGAACTCGGAGCTGGCCAGGCTGCGGAGTTTTGCGGTGAAGTTTGTGGCGAATGAGGTGTCGTTCAAGGCGGGGAGAGTTGGGGCGTGAAGTGGGAGGTTTTTGTTTTGCGAATCGGGAATGTATTCGAGAATTGCTGTGACGGTGGAGTTGTCGAACGTGCCTTGGCCTGTCGCGTAGGGGCGAGCCAGCATGTAAAAGGAGGCGTTTGGGGAGTTGGATTTGGTGTGGAGAAGGACGTTGGTGGTCTGCCCTGGGGCGATCAGAAGGGTGTCGGTTTCGAAGGGTTTGACGTACATGGCGTCTGCTTCCACCACTGTGAGACTGTGGTTTGCTATGCTGAAGAAAAGCTCGTCGTTTAGTGCTGCGTTGATTAGACGCAGCATGTATGTCTTTCCTGGCTTCACTTTCAGTTTTAATGTGTCTGCAAACCGAGTTTTACACGATTACTAGAAACGCAGGAGAACCAAGAATAATGATAATAATAAGAGGAAAAGTATTATAATGGGTGCGAGGATGAATAATAGTTTTGTCATATTTGTAAATATAGCAAGAGGGATAAGATTTTACAAATGTGACAATTTTATAGAACGGAAGATATTAAGATCTATAAATCTGGGTTACTCCTCTCATTAACCAATTTTCTATTTTCCGTTGTATATAGTTTAATGATGAGTTTGAATAGTTTAATCTGGCATTGTTATCTCTATTTCAATAAGAGTAATCGTATTCATCTCTTAATAATATTATTGGGGCTTTATTACTCATTTTCTTTTATTGATATTATAATATGGTACCAAAGTGAGTCCAACAATTTCAAACAAACCTCCGGTCCAAAATATGATTTTTAAAAGAGCCACCCTCTTTAAGGGCACGATCTCACGTGAAAAAATAAGAGATCATTTAATAAAAGTTTATAGTATATATGGACTACTCTTCTTATTTCTTATAATGGTAGAGATCAATTGTCATTTTCGTTTTCATTTAATATTGATTACCACTTGTTGAGCCTCCACAAATTTTAAAACCAATAAATGAGTCATCAATTTAAGTTTTTAGGTTCACCGGTGGTTTAATAACATTCATTAATGATATTTTACTATACCTTTGGCAGAGCAATTGTACAAAGGTCCAGGAAGACCATTCATGGTATAAGCATCAGAGACATTTGGACCTCCACCTGTTTGTAGTGCTTGGCTAATGACAGCCTCAGTATCTACATTCCACCACTCTCCTAAAAAACACAATTTAAAGATATAGAAATAATTAACACACTCTGGTTAACCAGTTGACAGATAATAAATTAAAATTGGCTTGAAATTTGAGAGCTCACCAAAGATGATTGGAACCTCCCTGTGGGGTTTTGTAAATGGATATGAAACTCCATGTTTGGGGAGGATGATCAGAGGCCCATACACTGTTGATCTTAGCCAAGAAATATGAGCATGCCAGAAAAGAGTTCCTCTTTGCCCAACAATGGTGTAATTGTACACATAACTTTGCCCAGTTTGTATTGGACATTGAGTTATATATGCTGGCCCATCAGCCCACCCCGATCTCAGCTGCCTTATTCCATGCCTAAACTCACACACATAAATTATTATATTGTTACGATCTTTAATAAATAAGAATAACTTTTTTTTTTACTTTTTTACTTCATATATAAATAACTTTTTACCAATGAATAGACATGTTGTTAGGGACATGGTTAACCACTTTGATTAGAAGACGGTCACCCTCCCTAGCAACAATACGAGGCCCAGGAAACTTGCCATTGACCGTCACCATGCTCTTCGCGTGGCACAAACGTGTCACATTTTGCAATTTAATCTACAAAATATAGTGTTCAAAAGAGTATTATTTATTATTGTGTAAATTCAAAAAATATATATCTCCAAGTAAGAAGTTGTGTAAACTGAACAAAAGAAAAAAAAAATACATACTTCAAACTCGTAATGCCTGGTTATGCCTGCAAATGCCAGGTGAGGAATCATGCATGAGCAAATGAAGCAGAGGAGGAAGAATTTGAGATCAGAGACACCCATTTTTGTTCAAGCTTTTTGGGTGTTGGAAATTATTGGTGGGTGAATCTTGAGCTGCTGTGTGAATTAATGGATTATGGGTACAGTATATATAGTGGAGAAAAGAGAAGTGTTTGGTTGGTCAAAATGGGAGAGAGAATAATGAAAATCAAGAACACACTTACTTTTGATATGGACATATTCGTTAATCAGGGAGGGCCAGCTGTTGGAACAACTTTAGAGTAGTGTCCAAGATAATCAACATTGCAATTTTGATTTCTTCTCTCTAAAATTAAAACTTTCTTTCATTTAGTTTAAGTTAATTAGATTTTGATTTCTCTTCTCTCGAACTAAACCCTCTATTTTCTTTTAAATAATCTGTAGAAAATGATGTTTTTTACTTAAAAATACTATTCTCGAAAAGTTATATCCAACGGATCATGGTGTCAAAACTTGTTGTAAACTTTTATTTAGATATATATTCTCATAGATCTAATGGACTTCTATTTGTTTTTTTAACCACGATCTTCACCAACCATGAATGTTTCTATTATTTTATTGCAACTCATTCTCGTATCTTGAAAGAAAAAATGAGAACAAAAAGAAAGAGAGAGAAAGACATTAAGAGTCCGTTTGGTATCATTCTCGTTTTTTGTTTTTTGTTTCCAATTTTATTAAGAAATCTAATCATTTGACAAATATTTATATTTTTTGTTTCTTATTTTTTAGAAACGTTTTCAAAATTGTATAAAAATTTTGAAAACAACAAAAACAAGTTTTCTTGTTTTTTGTTTCGGTTTCTAATTTGTTCCAACATAAATAAAAATATTGTTTTATCATTCGTGAATCCATGAGTGTTTGAGTCATGCACTTCTATTTTTCTTTATTAAAAATAGGAAACATAAACAAGAAATGAAAACGCTATCAAACGGGCCCAAAAATAATAGTAACAAGAAAGAACCATATATATGAAAGACATGTCAAATTTGACTTAAATTTTTTTTTCTTTGTTGTGTTTGTTGGGAAGTTTGTGATTAATAATTAGTTATATTTTTGGTGAGAAAACAAAGGGAAGAGGGGTTTAGTTGATCTATCGTTGTAGGGTTTGGAGTAAGTTGAAATAGCAAAGTTTGAATATTGCATGCAGTTCTTGGGGAAGAGATAAAATATTGAACAGTTGGATATCCTTCATTTGAAGCTATTTTACTCCAAGCAAAACCAAACCAACGACCAAGACATTCCATTTTGCAAGTAACTAAAACTATGTCTTCTTGTTGGAGGCTCCAATTTTCTTTTCCATTATTTGGTTGCTGTCGAGTGAGCTGTTTAACTTGTAGGTTGGGGCATGTTGGGGCATGTAGAGCCATGCAACTCGATCTCTTAATTTAAACGGGATAGCCGTTTTAGTTCACTTATATAATAAATCTTTGTTAGGTCTCTTATTTTATCAACGTGATATCCTCCGATCCCGCTCTACCTCCCACTCTAATACCATTTTAAAGATGAATAAACCACCACTGAACACAAAAGTTTAAGTTTGGGGTAAATTTAATTTATATATTAGATATCTAATAGTAAAAATTGCTTTTAGCTAGCTAGAAATATACTATTTAAACCTTTTCAATAATCAAAAGAATTTGCAAGATTTTAAAAATAGATAAAAAGAACCTAAAGTGCTTTCAGATGAAGCATGCATTTAATTTGTTTTGTTTTGAAAAGGCTTAAAATTAAAAAATTAGGTGCTCACTTAGAAACACTTGTTCAAGGTATCCCCACACACATCTTAATTAATTAACTTTGAGACGGCAATTGGAAAAATGATTTTAATGAAAATTTTAATTATAAACACTTTTGAAGAAAATATTTACTTTCTCCTAAAAACACATTTATGTATTCTAAAACTTTTAAAAATTACCTTTTTGACTATACAACTAAAGACCATAAAAGAATTTGAATAGCACTTTTTAATTAACTAAAATACCTTATTTTCCCCACAATTTAGGTTAAACTCCACTTTAAATCAGTTGGAGCATTAGGAAAATTCTAGTGGGAAAGGCCATAAAAATATCCTCCAACCACAAGCCAGGTGTTTGGTGACTTGTTTATTTATTTTTAAATTCTTGTTTTTTTATTAGAGAGAGATAAATTTTTAATCCTAAAGTCAATAAATTGTATCAATTTTCACCTTAAACTTAGATTAGATATGTGACGTTGCAATTTTTACTCTTTATTTAGTTTCCATTAATTCATCCACTAAGTTTAAACAAAAATTAATATTAAAACTAAAAAACTAGCAAATTTAATGAAAATTTAACATTGCACAAAATTAAGTTTGATTAATACAAAAGGTTAACCATTAAATAAGTTTACTAAAGTTTAAAAATTTCAAAAAAAAAAAAAAACAGCTCTAGTACTGTTTTTGTATAAGATGCAAAATACCCTCATATTTTATATTTTATTAATAAATTATGTTTAAATATTTGAATTTAATTATAATTTCATATATATATTTTTTTTTGAGATTAAAGATATTGAAAAAGAATTATTTAAAAACACAAATGTAAAGGAGAATTAGTTCACAAATTAGAGAGAGCTTGAGGGRCACTTTCTTTTTTCTCTGAAACATAGGACACCATTCATATTCAAAAGGTGTAGGTGAGACACGCACATCAAATGGAGACTAAATAAAAGTGCTCTAGACTAAATAAAAGTGCTCTAGTTCAAAAAGAGAGAGGGAATGTCATAATTACAAAAGAAAGTCGATTTAATGGACCATGAGGAGGCAACTGTTTTGATGTGTCATCCCAGACGAGGGTTGAAGACTTATATTTATTGAGAAGAGATGATTTTTTTTTCTCTAGCCAAATAAACTAAAGGATCGAGCAGAAGCCATTGCACCAAAGACATTCTTACAACTTGAAAGAGGAATGTTTATACATGCCCATATGAACACGTTGATGTCGGCAGGGAGGACAATGCATAAGTTAAAGGTATCAAGGAAACGCCTCCAAAGAGATGTTGTGTGTATGCACAGTGGAGAAATAGATGATCCATATAGAATCGCTATTTTGGTTGCAATGGGTGCAGCAACTTTGGCTTAAGCATATAGAAGGAAATTTAATTTGGAGTCTATCATGAGTATTTATCCCCTATTTTGGCAAATGAGTCAATCGGTGTGCGATATTGCTTTGACATGCTAGTAGATTCATTATAGATTCTATACTAAAAATACCATCCTTTGCAACATTCCACGAAATGCAATCTGTGACCACAAGAAGGAGAAAGTAAAAAAACTGGGAAAGTTGAGGAGATTAAATTTCATGTGACTTGTTCTCTTTCCATGTGACTTCTAGAGTATGACTTCACCGATATCGCGCTTTGACTCTTCTACAACTTTAATTTGAACTATTCTAAATTAAGGTTGTTGGCAGATTCTACCTTATGGACTCGATATTCTTTCTCAAGTAATAATGAATTTCTTCGAAGAGTAGAGTATCTATATTTCTATGACTACTCAGACAGTTCAAATACTCAAGTACGTAAAACCCAAAGATGCCACCAAATTTGTGTAAGAATAACTTTATCTCTTGCTTTAATCAAGGAGAACTATTCAAACCTAGCCAATAATCTTGTTTCTCAATCTCAATTTATGACAAAGAATCAATGTAAAAATTGGCCAAATCTTGTTTCTCAATCTCAATTGAGAGAAAAAATGTTTTCACAACTAACAAGTTTAGACTAGAAATCAAACAAAAAATATGGAAGAGTAAAATTTGATAAAGGCTACATCGATGCCCTACAAAAGTGTATTTAGTTCATGCTGCAACTAAAAAAAATTAACATCTCAATGTTCATAAGAAATAGAGAAAAGAAGGGAAAAAGGTAGGAAGAAAGTAAATTCCGAACACTCTCGTGAATTTTCAATGTTCGTGTCGTTGCTTTCTCCTTGGAATCTCAAAATCTTTCTTCCTTTTCGATCTCCCTCGTTTTTTCTCTAAAAAAATAGTGTCCTTATCCCTTTTTGGCTAGGGTAAAATTAAACTTAAAACTCATAATCTGTTTGTAGTGCCACCTGCACCCAATGCGCTGGAACATTGGCTCGATTTTCTTCTAAAATTGCTTTTTTCTCCACTTCTTTAACTCAACTCCTACAAAATAAGGAATAACAAAAAAAGTAAATGAACTAGCTAGCCAATGAAAAACCTACAGAAAACTATCAAATGACTCAAAAACACCTCAAAATTACTAATCCCAAAATTAACTCATCACACTAATCGAAGAGGTTCTTGTTTCAATAAGAAATGAGAATAACAATGTCAAGATAGATAGGTGTGATGGTATCTTTGCTTAAAGCTCTCTTCGTCGGAAAGCCTAAAGTCGCGAACATTCTATGATATTATCTTCTGTTGATGCGTGGATTTTGACCCTCCGGCTCTTCTTCTCGCACACACCAAACTCGATGATAAGGAAACCGATACCTGCAAAATCAAATCGATCTAAACCGGTGTGACCTTAGTCACACGGGCTCCGATGCTTAAGTTAGCGAGGGAGAGTTGAGAAAATAATTAGCTAAGGATTAATCACCTGCCTCTTCAGGGTTGGATCTCACTGCTACTTATAGCCGTAAAGATGATTTAAGAACCTCCGTAGCCAAACCCTAATTCGGCGTTGCAGGGCCCGAGGGGTTGTAGATCGTAGGCGGGAGATTCATGGGTTGGGCCGTGGGCCGAGCAAGGGTCGGGACTGAGAAGTGGTCGGGACCGAGAAGGGGTCGGGACCGAGCAGGGGTCGGGATCGAGCCCTCTCGGCCCGGTTAGTTCTCCGCCGGTCGCTTTCCTCGTTCTCTGCCCCGGCGCTAGGTCGTTCTTTGGGCCGGCCCATTACGTCATGGGC